CAAGCTAACATGCACTGGCAGGTTAGTACCAGCTGAAAGTCAATGGTAACAGGCACATGTGTCTTAGAAAACTCTTCCCCATTCACTTCTTACAGAATACTTTGCAAAAGTTTAATCATTTTTTAACCACTCAAAAAAGCAAAGAAAAATAAAATAATTTTCAAACACTCTGAATACATTTACTAGCTTCCTATACCAAGTCTAAGCATGAAAGTCTTTCATACCTTCTTTAGTATCATAAGCTACTCAGACAAGTTGCCTTTGCAATTTTCTGTTTCTCTAGCAGGGACAAAAATTTAAAGCATGAGCTGAGTTTGACCGACATAGTCATGGGTTTGATCTCCTGTTCACAGCTTAATTAATAGTAACTTATTTTTCCAATTAGCCATCTTCATGCCCCCCTGTTTACAATACCTCAGAATGTATTTTGCATTCTAGATTTCCAAGCAATTCTTAAACTGAAACAAAACACAAAAAGTTTTAAAACACTTTGGGATATATTAACAGCATTGAGCTAGTGCTTCATTTGATAAACAATCCACACTGAACATAAAAGCCTATTATTTACTAAAAATAAATATGCTGCATTGAAACAGCAGAAAAAAGCTGGAGACAGATGGTTGACAACTCATTGCTCCAAACTACACAGAGTGAAGAGGAAGAAGGAACAAATTTGATCAAAGAGGAAGCAGAAAGGTGAGTCGTTACCTCGGATGGGAAAAGGCATCTGGGACCAGAGTTAAGACATCTATGTGAAGGGAGTGCTTCTGCCAGGCAGCCCGGGTGCAGCCACAGAGCATTCCCGTGGGCCAGAAGTCAGGGCCAGGCAGTCAGGGAAGAGCAAGACTAGAAGAGCAATGGGAAGAAAGAGACTGAGATGAAAAATAAATAGGCAGCAGAGAAGAAAAGCCACTTAAAGATGCTTGGCTGGACATCAGTTTTTTTGCCAAGGAGCAGCGAGAGAACAAGGATGACTTGGATTCAATCAAAGGGCTGAGGGAGGGAACGGAGTGAGATTTGACAGCTCAGGCAGAAAAGATCAGAAAAGAAATTGGGCAGGAGAGTCTGCAGCCTTCACAGAAACATTCTTTTGGGCTCAGAACTGAAGCAAATATTCCTGGCTCCAATCACACTTCTGTGTGGCCTCCTAGTGAAACATGAAAACAAAAATTGCTGCTTCAGCTCAAGAGTTACTCACCACTACATCAGATACTTAGGTCCAGAATGAGTGTCCCTACGCAGAACATAAAGGATTCAATCCTGACACACACGTGGGTTAAAAAATGGCATCAGCTATTAGGTGTAAGTTCAACTTTTAAAAACCTAATTATACATATCTTAAGAGAACTTAAGATTATGTAAGGTCAGGCACACAAAGTTTAGAAGTTTTAGACAACTTCTAGGCAGCCTTAGCCCACTTTTTGACCCAGTACTGAAGGCTTGATCAGATACTGCAACATACTCACAGAAAGTGGCCAAACTAACAGCGCACAAACTTGGTTTTGCCATTTCCTAACTTCTGAGTGCTTGACTTCGTACAGCCTTAATAAAGGTCTTTTAAAAGTAGTTGTGTGTGGATAATTGTGTGTGGGAATTTTGCCAACTCAAACATGAGGGAGTTCAAGAGGCTTTTCTAATCTTGTGAGTTTATCCACGGAAGAAAAAGATTTTATTAAAAAAAATGAAGTACAGCTAAACTGGGAACAATACTTTACTACAGGCTGTTCTGTTCTTTAAAGGCACTTCAAAATCTTGGAAAAAAAAATCACAAAATTAGGAACTTATTAAATAAGAATGAAATGTACTGATGCAGAAACATAAACAGAAATGCCAGATGTATAATGTCAACTTGTAATATGCAGCTTCAATTAGTTCTTCTTAATTCATTTGTTTTCTTAACTTCTTTTGTTTTGCCATCTGGAAAAGGCCATTTTCTAATGACAGATCATAGGAGGAAAGATCCAAAGTTCAAGTTTGCTTGTAGGAAAAGCAGCCTTGTTTCTGTGTTCATAGACTCAGTGTTCCTTTTTGTATTTTTCACTCATGCAGAAGCTTCAAGACAAACTTAGGCCTGAACTGAGAGGCAAAAAGATCTACACGGATGTTTAGTAAAGTTTTGAAAAGTTTTACTTTTTGAAGTAAAAATGTGAAAACAGTTCCGTAAAAGGAAATGAAGCCACAGGAAACAGTAGAGTAAATGACAGGTATGTAGTAATTTTGGAAGTGTGCACGTGCATGCTTATTGGAATATTACATGCAAGAGATTTCTGGCTGGCTCTTACTTGTGTTATTTTAAAAAATAATCTACATTTATCCTGTAAAAAAAAACCAACCCATTAATAAAACAAGCAAATTTTATAGTTAAGCAGATCTGAGTAGTAGAAACACACAATTACTTTGTCCTCTGAAGCTAATCAAAATAAAAGTTAGTAACAGCACAATGAGTAATGTCACTTTTGCACTGACGCCCATTAGACAAAGTGATTCAGTATACATGAAGCTGTCAGCATAATATAAAGAAATCCTCTATGTCCAATTAAGATCAGCATTGCCCTGCTTGAACAATAAATCCCACTATTTATCTAACTGTAACTGATGATTTACACTAGCATTGTATCCCATTATCATCTTTTAATGAAGTATAGCTAGAGAACTGCTAGGTTTCACTATATGAGCAAGCAGCCTTGCTCAGTAGTTGCTTTTCTTTCTAAAATGCCTAAACATTGGTTTATACAAGTATTTTCTAATTAGTAGATTAGATTTGTAGACATGTATCTGATGACAAAGAATAGTAACTTCCACATACTGTATTGAACTACTCTCATTCCTGTACAGGTTACTTTCTTCTTTTTATATTAAGTGTTTCTGACCCCATTCCCCCCCCCCCCAAAAAAACAACACCCACCACCACCCCTCAAATATGTACACTGAAATTCACTCACCACCTGTCCCTTCTCAACTTGCTCACTTGAGGATTTGAGTAATGGATGCTAACCCATTTTCAAACAATGAAAAAGCAGCTCTCCAACCCCAAGCTGCTCTAGTGCTGCTGTGAAGTACTATTGCAGCTGTAACACAGCCACAACAAACATAAAGTTCAGAGTGCTTGTTTTACATGTTCTTTAATTTCAAACAGAGGGATTTTGGTTGTGTTTTTTTCTTAGTTACTTTATATAGAAAACAGAACTCAGGATATGGCATTTCAGGACATCATGTAGAGCAAGAGATGTATAGTTCCAAAAACTTAGAATAGTACAGTTAAGTCACTATTGTGCCCGAGAATTAAGGAAGTGTTCCAATTAAGAGATCAAAGTGTCATACATATTTTCTAAAGAAAAGGGATGACATAGTTTTCTTTCATTAGGCTACTGCAACATCAAGTATCTCAAGACATTAACAATCCCTTTTTGTGTGCACACCACTATGTAAATACGCTGACTGCTAAATCAAGATTATAACAAGAATTGCAAGTTTACATGTGCAGTGAATAGAAACCCTTTATAGTTTATTGGTGACAAGAAACTCTTAGCGATTTGCAAAGTGAGGTTCCAACTTCAGCCCACTAACAGCATTTCAGGACAAAAAAGTAACATGAAATACCACCATCAAGCTATTACAATCTTGTATTTTTAGAAAATTACGTCATGGTACATCAATCCCTCTCAACATGACACACATAGTATCTTGCTCTTCAATCCCTAAGGCTATTCAACAGTAACTTGAAACTGTGTGCCTAGCTCGCATATGCAATTGTTTCAGTTGTGCATTCACAGCTGACAACTGCCAATGCAGAGCAGTAGTTATGATCATTCATGCATGGAATATTTGCTTTAAGATGTGGATAACTACATGAAAATAGTAGAAACCAATTTCCATTCATTTCCCAGTACTAGGCTTCAAGACATTTTAGATATCTATTTATACCAAATTTGCCCAAAGAGTGCAGACAGGAGTGTAAAGCTCCACAACATGAAGACTACCTAAGCAGCCTCTACTGGCTCTTACAAAAATTAACAATAAATAGATATGCAAGTGGGCATCTTAAAATAACAGTAAGGACAATAATTAGATTAAGTAATAACTTGATTTCTACTATCATGTATCAATTACAATTTTCTAGTATCTGGTGTTGTTTGAGGACACCAGACAATAATCTTATTTAGAAACTCTATGTTTCATGCATAACTACCTAAGATATACAATGCCCTCCAGAATAATTCACTTTCTATGAATACTTCATGAAAACACTTGGTCTGGTGTCATCATGTTAGGAAGAACTTACAAAAGATCCAGGTGGCTTAAGAACATCCATCCAATATATTTTTGCAATGTATCTACAGACTGGCCTTTTAGGAACCTTGCAAGAAAAAGCATCCTTAGATTTCTTTCTACTGCGTATGAAAGAAGGGTCTGGTCAAACAGACAGATAATAAGGATTCCACTGATCAGTCATTTTATTTTAAGCTCAGCAAAAACAAAGCATTACCCAGACAATTCAGTGCTACTGTCTATTCAGGCTGTTTTCAGAAATGGTTAGGAAGGACCTCAGAATTTTGTTAAGTTCCAAAATATAAGCAGTTAATTTAACAGTCTTGTTTAGGACTGATGGTGTGGGTCAGCCCCAACTGCAGGCTACAGTTGTTACCAACAGATCCTTAACTAAGGTCCTCTGTTGGTCTCTTTGATCACACGTTTGTAAGGCATCTAGCAAAGCATGAGAGTGTTTTCTGGGACCTCTTTATAATCCTGGAGTGCAAGCAACAGGAACAACTTTGCTCACAAATTAAAGTTCCAAGTTGTCACAGATCACTAAGAAGTGACTGCTGAGCACTGGAAAGAGGACAGACATTCTGCTGGCTTTCCCCTTCATCTGGGGAGCTGCCTGTGCCAACAGTCAACCGCGGTAGCTAACAGCGTGTGTAAAATTTGCCTGGAACATATACTGACAAGAGACCAGTTTAAAGCTTTGATCCTCCCCCTTTACCCTGCAAGGACAGCGATTTTTTTTTTCTTTTTAACAAACTTTTCTGAGGCTGTTTTTCAGCAGAACAAAGGGCTCTCAAAAAAAAAAAAGAGATCTCAAAAGATCAAGATATTTACAGCCCCTTAAAAAAATACTGCAGAGCTCAGTCTCCCTTCAGTAAAGGCTTTCTCAAATATATTCTTCAAAGCCATGAAAACTAATTTTGCAACATCACTTACAACCTTGTCTTTCTGAAAAGGTTCTTTTAAAATATTTCACGTAAAAGTTTTCATTAGCTTCTGCTGCCCGAAAAGTATTTTTTTCTTGATCAGTTCTGTCCAATTTGTCAGTGAACTCACTGCTTCGTTCTTTCCAGCTCATCTCCCATCTTCTCTGCCCTTTACAGGCATACTTCAATAGCTTTGTCACTTCCATCCTGAGCAGACAAGGCACTAGCATTTTAGAATGCTAAAGATACACCTCTCATCTCTGTTGAATCTTCTAGAGGTACTTCCAGAGTTGCGTTCATAAGCTGAACACACCAGTTAAGATTTTTCCTTCTGTTTTCTTGTTAAACCTCACATAAAATTTCACTTATTTGCACTTGCAAAGCAAGAAACCCTTGAGCCACAAGTGGAACAAATATAAAGGTCAATGAGCATAGTAGACAGGCTGCAGCCCAAACAGCTTTCTCAAGAAATCACAGGAATAATACAGGAATGAAAGAAGTCACTTTTAAAAGATGTATCTTAATTCTGAAAGTTGTTACAAAAACTTTTGTCACCAATGGTTTTTGGATCTACCATCTAAGAATGTACAAGAATTTACCGGCTCAAAAGCTGTTTCATCTACTGAAGTTCAACATGTTAAAACACATTGAGTTTATGTATTTTGTACTAAAAGTATGCTTAGAAACGACATTACCTTAACCTTACTTTCAACGTGCTATTAAGCATCTTAACTACTGAACCCAACTAAACTGAAAAATGTGAAGTTACCTTGTACCTCAGCAGTCAGCATCATTACTTTGAACACTTATGTATATCAGGCTGATGATGGGGCTCTTTGGATTTATTTTAAAATTAGGCTGGGGAAAAAAAAAAAATCATCCTTAAACAAGGCTGCAAGTTTCTTTATGCCATAAAAAAGGTGGACAGAGAATACTGTTCCCTCCCCCCCCGAAACTGTGAGAACATGACAAAAGTAACAAAGGAAACATTAATTTGGGGGCTTTATTTAATTTTTCTTTTCTTTTTTTTTTTCTTTTTTTTAAGATGCTACATAGTCAAACAGGATTGGTCTTTTACGGCATAGGACTAGTTTACTACTAATATTTTTTCCCCTAGATAGACTTATTTACATACAAAAACAGTTTCCTGACCACTGTTTCTCCAATGCTCAGATGATCAAAACTCCCAACAATTGTGTAGTGCCCAAAATACCAGGAGGCAGAAGAATCTTGCATCACTACAGCAGCAAATTTTTAGTTCTAGTCACTGGCTTTAAACAGGTGCCTTTTCATACCATATAGTATTAGTCAATTTTGTGACAATAAGGAAACATGAGATGAAATACATTAAATAAGTTAAATATGCATTAAACATCTCTGAATAACATTTTAATTCAACTAAATGAACCAACAGCAATGTAGCTTGGTCCCTTTATGAGAACAAGGCATTGACCTTTATTCCAAATGAGTGTCATACCAGTCAATATATGCCTCTTATTGATGCCTAGCACATTCAGCATTGCCACATACAATTCTTTTCAGCTTCTCACTATTCATTTAAGTGCCAAGAAATTGGTAACTTGCACAGAGTTGAAGACACTGACAGAAACTGTTAAATTTATGAGCAGAATGGTGGATTAACGTATTTTACAGAAATTATCAACACCTCCTGCCTAACCCAGCTCCAAACATCCAATAGGGCCAGCTCCAGCAGTGGAGGAATAGTTTGTCTATTTTTCCTTTTTTTTTTTTCCTTTTTTTTTTTAAAAAGAGGTAATCCAGCAACATATACCAGGGTCTAAGAATGTTTAAAATGACATATACAATATTCCATTGTAGTGTTGAATCATGATTTTCTCCCCACCTTCATCACTGAAGCATATTTTCTTTCATTCATTCATTGTACATTTTAAACTTTCTAGATTATGTTACATAGTATTTGTGCAGGGGTAATTTAAAGGCAAGACCTGTGAGATGTCATACATTAATTTTTTTTTTTTAAACATTGTTATGAATAAATTTAATCCAATGATATGGCAGAACCATCAAACCAATTTACAATTTCCAGCATGCTGCCTCTACAAGGCTATTTTTCCTATAATTACACCAAAGACAAAGAACAAAACCACCAAAGCAAGTAGTCTGGAGCTGAGCCCTTCATCCTTAACAGCAGCTGCAGAAGCAGATATTGGGTTGTTTGTCTGGGGTGCCTTTCTCATCCGCAGTCCATCTTCTTCCTAAAGGAAGATATATTGATTATTTCTACTGGGAAAAAAGCTTATAATATTCTCCCTTATCATATTTATTTTAGGTGGGCACAATAAAATAGGCAAAAGCTAATTTAGAGCTCTATTTCCTAGATAATCTTGAGAAGGAAAGGGCATTGAGGTAGGAGAGGAATTCTGTATCTATTTGACTAGCAGAGCAAAAATCACATGCTCTTGGAATTTTTCTCCTGCTGACTAAGGTAATAGGGGAAGCAATTAGGAAGCCTGCAAGAACACTCGTCCAAAGGCTGGACACAGCTCCAGAACTTCAAAAAAAAAAATGATGGAGGGAATGGCGTGAAGATGTTTTTCTTGCTCTGTAAGCAAATATAGTGCTGTTGGGGAAAATGCTTTTCAATATAACTAAGGTAGGCTGTGAAAAATATGCAACTTTAAGGCAATAATACTCATCAATCCCCTAGTTAGATGTCACAAGCGAATTTCACCAGCATTTGAAGGGAAATCTATTTCCCCCATCATATTAATGCTGACATTTTGACATGAAACTAGTGGCAATAATTAGGATATTTTCTTGGTATGAGTTTGACAGCTCTCTTGATTTAAAGATGTATGAGACAACAGGTAAAACAACATCATAACACCAGATATTATCATTTCAAGTGGATATGATGCTCCCCACATCTTGATCTAAACTGTTGTGCAGCACAGCTGTGTGTTAGCACACTCCATTCCACACACACACACAGAGCACTTTAGGAGATGGTAAAATGAGCCTTTTGTGACCTAACTTGTATACAGCTGAAGCAATAGTGTTAGACTTTTTATGTGATACAGTATTACAGTACAAAAGTGTAAGATACTGAAGCGAAAGCCTCCAGTCTATACATAAAAAAATACTCAAGAAATAAAATTGTAATAAAAGTTACTGCAGCCTTAAAAATTGTCAGATAAGTGAAATTCAAAAGGCTCACTGTATGTCAGTGTTTCTCACTTTTGAATTTAAAGGGGCACCTAACATTCTGGAGGAAAACATTTTTTAAACAAAAAAAAATTATTTATTAAATGTCACAGACTACCTGATACCTCACTACTGCTCTAAGTCTAGATGGGGATAACTGGCTTTTGTAAACAATAAAATGTTGCTTACCTATATAGTAATTTTACTTTTCATTGTAAATATTTTAACTTCCTTTTGACAGTGACTCTAGCCTGACACTGACAGCACCTGGTGGCTGGCAGTAATTTAACATTGTTTTGTGAAGTTTTACATGTTTCTAACACTCCACAAAGGGAGCAACAGCTCACCATTTTAAGACATTACTGTAAGACATCAGCTCAATTCTACATATCTCCTGTACAGTGTTTATTCAAGACCTATTTGCAAAAAAATAAAGTAAAATCACATACTATTGTGAGACGCTGGCAAAACAAGACACAAGGAGAAGTTAAGGTTGTGTCTCACCTATATACATACATTATTTCTATGTGCAAAACAAAACTGGTTTACAAATGTTTTAAAGAATTTCTTCATGCATCAGCCAGCCAAGCAGCATCAGAGCTGACAGGACACAGTTCCTTTCACTGGGGTCCAACAGTCAAAAATTCCAAATTTTCATTGGTGCTGTTATCTATGAAACTAAGCATTTACAACAAATGAAACTACTGTAAAAAGAGTTTTTCAGCATGGTGATAAAGGCTTCTCAATTACTTGATTTCACAGCGATGTGCTGGATATGACAGGAAGCATATTTCCTATTAATCTGTCTTACTTTGGTCATTTTAACTGCATATTATAGGTGCAATTACTAAAACACTCGGTATTTGCACAACACTGCCCTCAAGCTCCCATCAGTTTGAGAGAACAGGGCCAAATCCAGCTTAATTCAGATTGAGAAAATTAGGTGGGAAAAGAAAAGAGAATTCATTACTTTGGGTTGCTATCCAATCAGTTTCTCTGACTGCATGACTTGTAAGCTCCTTTCAAAGGAAGTATTTTTCCAACACTTTTTCTCAGTTTATAAAGAGAAACCTAAATTATCTTTTAATTTATAGACAATATTAAAATATTGGTCAGGTGACCAAACCTTTAAGTTGGAAGCTCCTTTTTCAGGAAAGGGGTAAATCTGGGAAAAAAAAAAAAAGTATCTTTACCTTAAACTGTTTATTCTCCTCCCGTAACCTCTGAACTTCTACTTGAAGCCTCTTATAGTCTTCCATTACTTTCTTAACTTCAGTGTCATCCAAAGAAGAACTTATTGATTTAGACATTACAGAGGAATCTGTCTTTGTTGCAGTTGTGGATACAATTTTATTTATTTCTATGTCATGCTGTTAAAAAAGGATAGAGTGATTTTTGGTTAGTTATTAACACCACACCACACACCTGATATTTAGGAGGAGAATCAGGTAAAATTGTCTGTGCACACCTGAAACGTGCCTGTATCAAAAGAAATAAACAACATTTTTCTTTCTGTAACCTTTACTTCCCCTTTCTGTTTCACAGAAAACACCAGATTAGCAGCAGTAAGTGCAGACAGCATGACCTCAACTTTTCAGTCCCTGCATATATGGAAAAGGAAACATCCTTAGACCATGTCCCACAGTATGAATGGGAACTTATTTGTTCACAGTCCACTTATGGAGTATTCATGCTCTCCTCACCTTTCCCTTCCCAAGCACAACACAAATAGCTACTCCAGGAACCAGGGTATTGCGAGGAACTACCCTCCTGCTCTGCTGCAGTTCCCTTTCTCTTCACTCCCCACAACTGGCTATCGCCTCTCCATCTTTCTGCGCTTCTGTGGTGATGGAAGAACCTGCAACCCAAGTTAGGAAACAAGCTGCAGACCTCCAAACCCTCCTCCCTTTCCTGCCTTTGGATTCTCTCCATGTTCTGCACTTTAGAATGCAAAGGGCCTGGCTCTCATGAAAAACAAACCACTCTATTGCCACCCAAACTGCCACCAAAGTCTTAACATGAAGATTTTGTTTATATGAATAAAGTAATAGGATCTTGTTACTACTGGTGCTTTGTTTTGCCCTCATGAATTTTAGGGATTATAGAAAAAATTACGACTAAACAGAAAAGCTGTTAAGTTTCATTTAATTCAGATTTTTTCCTTCCTCTCATCACACCTCTGAACTGGAAACACAGAAAGTACCCTGGCCTAAAACAAAAGCACCTACTTTCAGAGCAAATGTTCACTGTCCGGAGCAGGTAGAGCAGACATAGCGAGACTACAAGAGTTACATTATAACAATACATAATCCTAATTACAAGCTGTCCAGTGCAAGGTAAAGCAACTGTGCCTTCAGTACCTACATACTAGGAAACATTTTTTCAGTTTATTCAATCCATTATCAGTTCTACATTTGACACTACATAATTCCATTAGAAATTAATGCGTTCATTACCCTAACAAAAAAGGATCCTACAATATTATAGCTGCTAATTGCAATATAACCCCTAACTGCATTTGTGTCCTCCTTACTAGCTTTCTACCAATTTACTTGCTAATATCAGTGTGGTATTGAGGAAGCAAAGGGGAGTGTTGGACAGGCAAATTTATATTGCTGATGGTTATAACTGCTTCAGTATAAACTCCGACCTTTATGACCATCAATCAGTACCTTTCAATTTTTTTTGAAATATTCTTTATCCTGTGATCTTTCACTAAGTGAAAACAGATCAACTCAAAGATTTCTTTGTGCTTGTGTTGCACTTACATTGTTCAAATTAGCTGCTAGGTACATTAAGCATACCAAGATTTTAAATAGTTTATATTGTGTTTTCAAAGGGTGATGCCATCCAGGCAGTGAAACAGAGGGTTCTGTCTTTTGCTTATATAGCTGTCTGTATAAACATGCCATTTTACATGATTTATTGCGGTATTAAGTTAAAACACTCAACATGCATCTGAAAATACTCACAGGCTTATCATTTTCGGCTGGTAGCTCAAACACACACCTAAGTTTCGAATCCATGAGTTCTTCCGGTTTTGCTTCTTTCCACTGGAATAATTTAATATTAACTTAATATTAAACATACTAGTATATTAAGGCAGATGGAAAAGGCAGTGTATTACATAAACATATCACATCACCTTACTCAGAAAAACCCCACAGGTGTTTACCATGTTACCATTAACCACATACATGATAAAAATGAAACCAAATATATAACTGAGTGGTACTGTAAAGGAAAACCAGATACTATGAAGAAAATCATTCTGAATAGTATAAAACTTACACAGGTAATTTAGGAGAGAACTGGGAAATCTGGAAGAGTAATTAGCATAGATAGGGGGAGCTATGGTTCTAATAAAAAAAAAAAAAAAAGGGAGGGGTGCATTCAGAGGAAGGGAAAGATCACAAAAACCCAAATCAGTAATGTTAGTTCTGAAGTCTTTGTTCAGTGGCGTTCCTATTCAATGTTTTCAAATTTCACATGAGGTTTTCTTCCTGACTGGTATGAACTACAGGACTGTTCTTCCCCTTCCTTGTTTTCCACCTCCTTATTTTTCAGCATCAACATCTAAACAGTAACAGATGTGCTACATACAGAAAGGGATAGTTCCCCCTCTCATCCTTCTCTCCCCTTCAACTAGGGAGTCTACCATAAAAAAGTTTCCTTCCAATATTTTTAACAGGGATTAACAGTTATAAATATTTGCTCCAGTATCAGCTGTAACCCTGAACTGAAAAGATTGATTCATAGTAGTGATATACAGCAAGAAGTGTCCACATTTATGTCCTGGAGTTCTCACATGCTTCTCTTCACTTTGACCATACTTCTGATAGCATGGTATTGCTCAGCATATCTCAAGTAGGCGTCAAATTATGGCTAACCCCTGTGCAACCTGAAGAAGTATTTGACTCATCCTAAATAGCTGAATCGTACTTCAGCTCTTCTGTGGCTGAAGTCAGAATTCTATTTTGAGCTCGTTGGCTGCCTGTGAAGTGTTGAAAGCTTTATAGTACTCCAGTAATTTGTCTCACCTGTTTATCCAGAATAGGAAGAGATTTGCAGAGTGGTAACAAAACTGAGAACTGCTCAAATGTTACAGGAAAAGAAATCATATTGGTCTGTAGAGCTCTGGAAAACTGAAAGGGCCATCTAGGTCCTAAAAAACATTCTTCGCTAGCAGAATAACATTTTTCATGGTATAAAGTAACTCATAAAAATTAAAGAGTTAGAAAGAAAGGCAGACTGGCTTATCTTTCTAGTGATGTAGACATTTTATTACTATTGCTGCTTCTCCCACTGGATCTTATTTTGAGGCCATTAAACAAATAATAGTTCCATAAATCTCTTTCAGAAGGGAAATTCTTAACCCTGCGGAATGCCGCAGCTTTAAAAAGTTATTCAGAAGAAGATGCCTGTTGTGAAGACTACTATAAAAAAGCCATGATATGCACTCTGAGGTTTTGGGGGGTTGGCTTTTTTTGTTTTTAAGTAATACACATACCTACAAACACACACAAGCCCCACACTTTAGATTAATGGCCTCTTTTTCTTTTTTATTGTGTCCTCAATAGCTACCGAGCATTCTCTCAAGAGAACAAAAGCTAGACTACAGAAAGCTTCCTTGTGCCTTCTTGCAGTAGCAAATCTTGCTGTTAGAGGAAAGCCACCAGTTGACATACCGGTTTGTTCCTTTCCAAGTTGTCTTAATGTAGCCTCACATCTTATTTCTACATCTTTTGTCCTTCTTTGCTACAGCACCTACATGCTTCTGTTACTCTAATTTGTAATCCACAGGACAGAACCTATGAGGGCCTTTCATTTACCTAAGCCACAACAGACATAGGTAGGGATAAAGAAAAATACAATACTTGTAAATCATCCACCTGGTTCTTGCTGGGAAAAGGAGCTGCTCAAGGGAAGACTCGAGACTGAGAGTAGAGGCATAAAATATAAAAGATGCCACTGATTTAGAATATATTCTGTATATTCTTAAAACATATAGTTCAAGTTGGCCTTTCTAAAAAATGATATATGGAAAAAAATTACAACTACTTAACATTTGCTTAATGGCTTGGTATTCCATTACTGACAGCAGCATCCTCAAGAAGCAACCACAGACACCAACAGTGTCTTTCAGTGTGAGGCTCCTGGGGCTCGAAATAAACGGAAAACACCTTCCCGTGCACAGTGATGGAAATCTGGCAAAGCTTTCAAGGATCACTCCAGTGTGGTTCAAGAACAGCCCTTAAGGAACACAGTCAAAGGTCTTATAATATTATACAATCAGAAAGAAGTCCAGTTTAATTAATTTCAATACTTACTACTGCTTCCATGTCTGAAGTATCAGCTGGAGCAAACATAGACTGAACCATAAACTTGTGTTTACTTTTCTCATTAGGGTCATAGTCAAAAGGCTGTAGCATCACTGTAAGAAAAACCCCAAAACACATTATGTTAACATTGCTCTGATGCATAGTCATGCACTGATGACAGAGTTACCAGATTAGAGAAATACAAACATTAAAATGGTTTTAAGTTGTATGTCTGTTATGACCAAAGCAGCAGCTGAGATCAGGAACGTCACTTTAAAACAAAATTTTAAAAGAAGATAAGAGAAACAGTCGTCTTCAGTCTGTCAAGATTTTTGTCTGAGAATTTTAGAAATGCTGATCACTGTACAATATTCTGCACACAACTATGGCAAGATAATAATAGTAATTTATAGTAAACAGGATAATCTACATATCTTCTGGGACAGAGGGAAAAATTCTCAAAGAAAGCATCTTTTTTCTTCCTCCATTCTTGGGGCAGAAGTAACAAGCTGGCATTTTGATTAGTTGTACGCACAGTATTCCTGATGGTTCCTGAGAAAAGCTACAGAGGCAAAGTCAAACATTTTAAACCTTGAGGTTCAAGTCTCAGGATGGAAATTTCCTCTACAAATTTTAAGAGTCTCATGGTATTTGTTTTATCAAGTACAAGTATTTCTCTTCCAAAAATAAGTTGCTGAAAGTTTGTTAGGAATTTATAGCTGGAAGTTTATGGTTAAATGCTATATAAACTTCTACTCTGAAAGGCATACAAGAAATGTGTTTCTCCCCATTCAAAAATTACCAACATTCCAGAATTTACTTTGCAGAAAACGACTGTGTTCAGAGGACAGAGAGCAAGGAATGGCAGGCTGGGTGTGTGTGGGCTTTTTTTTTTTTTAACATTTTTTATTTAACAGTAGGAATTTCCTTGTCTTTTCTGTTTGGGTAAAGAACTAACACGTTAAAGTAACTTGAAGAGGCAGAGTTATGCATTTTGTTTACATGGAATATCCTTTAATCACAGTGCTCACTCAGAACCCCTATGTTTTGCAAATGACACCTGGATATTCAGCTACTGTGACATTAACAAACACTGGTTTAGCTTCAGCATGAGACAAACAGATGTGAGAAAATAAGCAAAGCACTTTACACAAACATGCTATTAGATACTGCAAAAAGCTACCACCCCCTCAAATTTAAAATGAAGCTTGCATATACTGCAATTACAACTAACATAAAAAATGGTGTAAGGTTTAAAAATTCACATTTTACGACCCATGAGGCTACTTCAGTCCCTCAATTCAATCACTAAGAAGAGAAGCAGTTCAAGGATTAGGATTACTTTCAAGTACTAGTGCTATTAACATTATGTGCCCAAATTCATATGCACTAATTGCAGGGGTTTGTCATATAAAAGCAATATTCAAAGATCCCATTTATTGCAACTGAAGGCAAGTCAAACCAATTTGCCTCCTTCATTGAGCAGAGTATGTTATGGCTGTACCATCTCTATTACGCACACAATCTGTGGCTATCAACAACCACATGCCTTTTAAAGCCAGAAGAGAAGGAAGACAGCAAATTCTCTCAGACAAGGTGCTTTAAAAATTATTACACATTTTAACTCACCTTGTGGTAATCAAATACTAGTCAAAAATAAGTGTTTGCAGATTAACAGGCTACTTTTAAAACTATTTTTCCAAACAGAAGTGACCGCACTGTGAAAGCACATATATTTCAACATTGCATGATACATCACTGAAAAGCAGTGGTGTTAATTTTTTCTCTCCTGTAGTAGACACCTAACTTATTTCAAATCTACATAATGTGTAAGATCCAACTGGGTAGTCAAAACTATCCCCTGTTTATGGAACTTCTCCAGATCTGCAGTTTTTTCAATTCACTTTGCTGAGTGCAGCTATAAGCTCATTTGAAAATCATTATTTCCCAAGTGATAGTGCTGAAGCCGTTCCCAAACGCCAAATGATTGCTGCTCTGAATTCCATTCACTGAATCATAAGAGCAAGCAGCTAGAGAGGGCTTGACAGTACAAACGTTGTTAGCACTTGTATTTTTAGATCAATACATGAAAGCCACATTGACACAAATTATTCAGCAAATGTCTTGTAAGCCAGATGGAAGCTCAAAAATATGTACTTTGTTCAAGAGGAAACCAAACCATTTCAACATTTATTCACATACTATTGGGGGTTTCTGTGAAAGATCAGTTCTATGTAATTGCCCTAATTGCTAGAGAATTTGCTACTGTGAATGTGGCTCCTTTGTTTTGACTGGAAATTCCATACCTTACACAAGAACTATGTGAAAAGTGTATGTTCCTACAAAATGCCTTATCAAATCAGTCACCTCATCTGGTCAAAAGTGGCTGCCCAGCTTTCACCAGAACCCAGAGTTCTAAGAAACAAAATGATTAACATGATCTTGAAGTTTACTAGCACCAGCATCTACTAGGCAGAGCTATGTATTTCTACCGCCTTCTAAACTGATCACCTTACAGCTAAAGCACCAGAAGTATTCCACCACAAGCAAAAACTGCAAAGACATTGAGAGATCAATGAAATGAGGAGTAACACAAGTTGTATTTGTTAGCAGCCCACTTGTCTCTCAAAATTAAAACACGAAGGGCCAACCTTACATACATCCTGTTCTGAAGTCTCTGCAAAGAAATGGATACCAGCTTTCTCACGCATTCCTGCAATACCCCCCCATATCTTACGCAAGGCCCTCTGTAGATGGCGAACGAGAGGCGGTGACCACCTAACATGCTCCTTCCTTTTTCTAGAACAGTTTACTGGCAAAGTGAGTAACAATGTCAGAAGCATTAAACTCTTCTGGTTTTCCTACAGTAAACCTGCACTCTCAAGGAACAGAGGAAATTTGAGCAAGGAACATGGAAGGAGGTAAAACTCCATCCATAATGCCTGCTAGGATCCAGCACTCCCTTCCAAGAGCAGAAGGAACAGAAGTCTCCCTGCTCAGAGAGTCAGCAACCTTCCTCTAGTTTCCATCTAAATTTATTAATGGCCTGTTTACTTGGTCCTGGACCAATAGTGCCCTTATGCTTAAATATCAAAGAAGGGGAAGAGTCAGCTACTTCTGGTGCACTCCAAGACATCAATCACAGTAACTCTTGGCCTTCTGGTAAACTAAATAAGCCAGACTCAGTGGATCCTCTCTGGTCGAGGCTCCCCATTCATTCTCTGCACCTGTTCTGGCTTCAACTCCTCTATATGAGCTACTCTAATTATACATCCAGGATATTTTACTCATGCCCTGGACAATAGCATAGACCCTTTTACCTCTTCCATTATCCAGCCTGTTTGCACATACTACATTTGCCTTATTCACAGCCACATTATGTCAGCATCTTGGTCACCCTAGCCAGCCCCCTTAACAAGTTTGCAGTTATAGCAGGAGTATTTTATTCTCCAAGTACATGATTTTGCAGTTTTTCTGATGAAACTCATCCTGTTTCTCTTACCGTAGCCTTCAAGGACACCCAGTTCTGCTGCGTATCTTCAGCCTCCCAACTTTACATCATCATCAGGGTTTTTAGTGTACTCTTTGTGCCAGAATTGCTTATAAAAGCGTTAAACAAGAATAGTACCAAGAATCATTCTCAAGAAACGTCACTAGTAACTTGCTGCTATTACATTTCCATCCACCACATCACTGTTTACTCTTAAGTAGACCATTCAATAGTCTGTGAATCTATTTTTCCTTTCTAGCTTTATTGATAATTTTCCCAAATGGCACTGCATGAAATTCTTTATGGTCTGGATAGATCAAATCTACCACACTTACATCACCTTTACATAAAATACCCCAACCAGCTACAGGGGCGAGCCTCAAGATCATTGTGCAATTTGATCAGCTCTGCTAGAGGTGAGCAAAGGACACTCACATCTACAGAAACAGGCAGAATCCACTGCACTGCTTCACATTTGTTCCATGTTTACATAGTTCTTTCTGTAAATATTTCGGTAGTACTAAGAAATGTTGAATCTGTGAAGACCAAGATAGATTCTTCTAAAGCAAACGGACAAAACCAACCCAAAACTTCGCAGTTGCTACATAGCCCTGGGAGGCCCGGGCAAACGGTGCGCAGCAGCAATGTTGCCTCTGGAGCTGCAGCAGTGGACGGGACACGACCGGTGTCTTAGCCAAAGGGGCAGACCCACTGCGACAGAAGAGAACAGCAGCTGCAGAAGCACCCTCCTGAAGGCAATGCAAACCACCTTTTCCAAGTCAGGCAAGTTTACAGAAGACTAAAAATCCTCCCCAAGGATATTCAACAGCAACCCAAGGATAACGTCAGCTTTTCCCCATTTTTAGGAAGCACGTTCAGACTGCTCTCTTCAGTGGGACAGTGTGCACAGATGGTACCATCTGTACTTCCTCTCTCCCCCTGTTATACACCTATCTGCAGACTCATCAGCACCGGCTTATATTTTTTTCACTCTTTCTTTGTAATCCATTCATGCCTTTTGTTTAGATTTCAACCTCTTGGCAGTGACAAAAATCAGATATATTTGTTGAAATAAGACGTCTTTAACAAAAATGGAATGTGTGCAAATACTCTTTTTTCCAAAGTATTTCAGACCACATGCAATGAGATCAGATGACAGCGTACACATACACTTCCCGACAGTTACATAAACGCAGTTGTTAAAATTACATGCCATTATATAACAGGTGAAAACATGGGCTACAAACCTGACATTGCAGCAAGCAGTGTATGCTGACAGGGACTTAAACGCTGATATTTAGGAAAAGCTGTGATATGGCATAAGAAACCAGTATTTGAGACTCCACTAGAATAAAGCAAGCTTTACTTTTCTAGCATTTTATATGTTTTAAGTGAGCTGTCATGCTAGTATGAAATCAAGTGGAATAATGTTCTGACTGCTGCCTCTATCTTAGGGCGGAATATCTTCTCATACACTTACATCAAAATAGTACAGATACAGTTTCACAGGAATGTAACAAAGGCATCCTGTTACTACAGTGCAAGAAGAAAAGGCTGCCCCAAACTCCGCTTCAGTCAGTAACACTGAGAAACTAAAAAATTGTTCCAGAGCTTCATGCCACTACACCTAGGCACTGATTTTTTGGAAAGACAAGGTGCAGTACCAACACAGTGCTACCAAGAGGCTGTGTTAAAGCCAGTCAGAATTCTCAAGAGGACAGATTGCATATAGTAAATACAGCCCAATTACTTTAAGTGTCCGGAAGTGATTACTGAAATAACTATATTCCAATAATTTCTCACCAGTAGTATTTTCACTAGGTTTGGAGGAATTCAAATCCTATTTATTCAAGTCCTATTTTTACACCCTGTGCAAGACTTGAATTACACAACTGAAAAATAACTGATTCAGAAGCAAAGAAACAAATTCTTTTTCACTTCATTAACTACAAAATCAGCCCTCTGTTCTTAAGCAACATTACTCCCCTCTTTCACACATCTCCACCCTTTCTGTGAATTTGAAAACAATTCTGTTCTGTAAGTTAATGAAAATCCTCTCTTTGATCACCCCTATCCAAAAGATTCCTTCTGCTAATCAGAACCAAAGACACTGCCATCTTCCAAGTCCAAAATTAGGTCCCATGCATGGTTTAAAGGAGCTACCTGGAGTGCAATATATGCAGCTCTATTAAAGAGAAATTCAACCACAGTACAAGATAAAGACAGCTTCAGTTTAGAATGTTTTAGGAAGAATTAACATTTATAACCCCCAAATTCTGTAACACATCAACCTATAAATTTGCCTCAATATATTACCTAAAGAACAATGAATGTGTACTGCTTGTATTTTAAAATATAATGTTAATGTAAGGACTGGTAATTTAGGATTGTTATTTGTTATTACTAAGTTATTATCAGCATGTAAATATGTAGAACACAAATGTGAGCTTGTGATTAAATATACCATAGCCATTCGCAAAACTAACTGAATCATAAATCACTATGAATAAAGTTATCAGAAAAGGGATGTATTTTTCAAAGCTACGTAAGCTAGAGCAAAGCATAGCTTAAGGTTAGCACAGCAATCTCACATAATGGGATACTTGAAGTCAAGTCTTGGACTAGATCCATATTCTATCTGGTATGCCTATGGGAAGAGCCAGGCTGGAAAAGCAAGTAAGACGTTGGCGTGCTGGTAGCATAACATAAGATGGTTCATACAACACTTGCCTAGACTATATTCTGCTCAAGGTAGAGCAAAGGGGTCATTGTAAGCAGAAGTTTAAGAAAATACTCAATGTTGAGATCAAGACAACGTTTTAAAAAGCATGGTAAGTGCCTGCAAAGGAAGCGGGCTTTTAATTTCAAAAGTCCATCTGATAGATGAAAAGAATCCACATCTTTATAGCATGAACATAATTTGTAGCTAGAAACCATGCTAATTTTCATTATCACTTCATTGATTTCTACGCATTTAATAAGCTTGCCTGCAGCTAGTATAGATGACAGACAGCTTTACTTGGGAATTGTCCTGAGTTTTAAAAATCTCAATTTTTCTCTAGAGAGCTTTTTCATTTACATATTAGTCACTTCAGAACTCACTGGATACATGCTAACCTTCTTCTGAAGCAGAAGTGCTTTGCCTGCCCCACCTGCAGCTACCACATTGCACTGGTTATCTCCGCACTGTGACATTCCCCAGAGATTAACTGCAAGCGAGGCACAATTCTGCAATCATATACACGCTCAGTTTGACACAGTAGAAATCCCAAAGACAACAGATCAATGAGTGTGCAAATGTAGACATGCACAAGACGACTTACAGGATTGAAGTCTCTTAATGTTACAATGCAAAGTATTTCTGGGATCAATTTTTATTTTGTTGAAGCAAGCTCTCCAAGTGTGAGGTGTTTGAATATTTTCCATTTTTTACTTAATAAAACGTAAGTCTTGATTTTTACTTTTTGATTTTTTTCAAGTAAAAAGCAATAGTTTTAGCTCCCAAAATATTTTATTCCAGACTAGAAAAGTTTGATAAGAGACTAACAGCAAACTGTATAACCTATCAAGAAGTAATTTTTCTTATCATGCCAATATTGAAATTTATTAAAAATAGTAAAATAGATCTGCATGTTTATAGAAATAATTTTCTTAACTAAGAAGTCAGACTTTATTCATGCAGTATGCCACTACTACCTGCTTTGATAGAATTCTTTATTAAAAACATGGATCAGAGAAGTCATTAAGAAAATACACTGTTTTAAAGCATGTATCGTCAGCAAGTTAATAATATACATACATTCTGTTTATGGGAACTAATCAGCTCTTTACGCTTTCAAAGTAAGCCACTCCTTTGCTTTTCCATTACCAAACTTAGGCACGTCAAGAGCTACTGACTCATTAGAGAAAATTAACTTTTCCTATGGAACAGCAAAGATTTAGTCACTTGACATTTCTAACACCAAAGCACATTGCATCTTCAAGGAACACAAAACAAGCATGGTCTGAAAGTAAATGTTTTCATTATTGGTTGTACTAGGCAGTTTCACAACAGCCAACACCAGTCTAAACTGGTGTGGCTGCAGTCCACTCAGTTTTATTCTTCCTTCGACATGCCCGCCCAAGCACTTGTTTGACCCTGTGGTGAGCTGGTTCAGGAAGTGAAGCTGGCAAAAAACTAACCGTACAAAAATAATCCCACAGGGAGGGCAGGGCTGCAGCAGTACTGGTTTGGATAGGCTGGCTAAGGCTGTTAATGAACTATATTTAAAACATTTATGTATTTCTCCTTTTTTCCCCCTCCAAAATGAGACGTAACCCAAAACTTATTACTGCTAGAGACCAGGAATAAGGGATGTAAGGATATAGGAAAAGGCTGCTTCTCCATGAAATCACCACCTCTTACTTTTACAAACATTCAACAAAATACTTTCAGATTGCAAAGCATTCCAAGAAATAATTGATTAGAAGCAGCTATTTTCAATCACCAAAAAACTACTTGAATGGCTTACCAGAAACATTAATTGATGTTCCTGCATCGATAATTCCACTGTTAGGCCTTACACAGTATCTACGCGGTGCTGTGGTCTTAACTTTGAAGCACACATTTCTGTCTGTAGGATTGCCGAGTTTCAGATTTGTAGTAACAACATCTGTGAAAGGACCTGAGAAGAAGAGCAAAAGCAGACTTGAAATCACACAGAAAGTACTTTTCAAGCAAAGGCTAAGCAGGCTCTAAATCTCTGTTCACAAATCTTATAAAGTAATTAGATGTTCATTTTCCATCTATGGCATGTACAGATAATCGTGCACGCAAAGCTGAAGATGCAGCGAGGCCTCAGCATTCTGATATGCAGCTTGCTCCAACACTCACAGTGCAACAGCTGAAACTGATCATTAATCACAAAACAAAAAGGAGGAAATCATTTATATATGGTGCCAACACAACATGGCATTCAAATGATGCCAAATTCTCTGCTGTATCACAGTTACTCCATACTAACTACTGAATCCCAGTAAACCCAGGCTTACAGAGATACAATATATACCTATGCTACAGATGATAAATAGGAGAGTACAGAAAGTTAACTAGAAAGGGAATGATAACAAAGTGGCTACCACAGATTCATCTGCATTTGCAAGCTGTACCTCCACAGAAGCAGGATTCCACCAGGTATTCAGAAATGCTGTACCATAACCAGCAAGATAAGCATTCAGTGTGCATCCCCTTTTCCTATCAAGTCTTTTTTTTTTTTTTTAAATAACTCTCTTGGCTACTAGAAATGATAAACCAGAAGAAATCTTCATAAAGTAGCCTACCTCACATAAGACAGGAAATAACCATGTAGAAATAGGAAAATTCTTGGATGCTGAGAGCACTTGCAAAGATTTCTGTATCAGTAAAGCCAGAATCAAACCATTGTCAAGGTCTGCAACACCAAGTGCAGGCAAATCAATTTCTTGCAGGCCCACTACCTAGCTGAAACTGCCAAAACCCCTCAGGTTAGAGAAAAGGCTAGTTACTGATTTTCTACAAGACACTGATAAATCAGACAGGTAGCATGCAACTGCAGTGCTTGCTCAGATGGTAAAGAAGTAAAATTAAAAGAAATATAACAACTCTTTGATCAACTGTCTTCTGCATAAAAGTAATTAATTTGATGCCTGAATAAAACTTCTTCATCTATCCTCAGGATTAAAAGCAAACTGGTCAAAAAAAAAAAGCATTCAACTTTTCCTTGCAGAAATGACAGCCCTAAAATTTAAAAAGGGTGAATGATGACGACGATAACAACAACAAAAATACTAGCAGGCAACATTCCACCATCCTCCTCCTGCAGCATGGTTGGCTTAAAATAATCTGAGTTTGCTTCCTTTTCTACAAATTTATCACACAAATTTGTCCCCTAAAATGAAATTTCATACAGCTGTAAAAGTATTACAACCTGCAACCTTTATCCTTGATCCAATTTGTTTTACATAATTAGAAGGGGGAAAAAACCAAAACAATCACATGCCCCAAAACCGCCAACCAGACAACAATGTAGCACCATTTCTGCCTGCACTCTAAACAAGCCAGATTTGCATTTACAATGCAAGCTGGTAGCAAAAAATTGAAGCAATAAAACTTTCAGATCCCATAACAAAGATTTCACTAAACCTGTGCCTGGTGAAACACTGAGATGTGGAAGTGAATGCAACACAGCTGTCAAGTTTTCTCTGTGTTCTGCATGCAAAGACAGACTTTAAGTCTAATGGAAAATAACTGGGCAGAAGCGGCAATGAGTTGTTAAAGAAGTTAAACTATCAGAAAAATCCAGCAAACATTTAGGTGGGTAAAGACAGCTCAAGATAGCTCTAACTTGGAGAAGTCTAACATTTCAGAAGAAATTACTTGATGCCTAAGCATTAAGGATGTGCCTTTACTAAAAAAATACAGCTTGAGCTATTGCAGAGAAGAGGGAGGGTCGTCTGTACAAAGCCCTACATATGCAGCTGCATCCTCAATAGTGCTTTACTAGTCTGCATGCTGGGATAGATTTCCTGTGGGAAATACCATGTTTTTACTTGGCTGATCCACGAATGTGTGCGGGATTTGTGCACCCCAGCACAGAGCTGCTGTTTGTAATAGTAATACGACAACAATTCTGTGTGTAAAATAATTTCCAAATGCAGTTACTTATTGCTAACATAGATCATACCAAAATATTTGGCAGCAAAACCTTTCACCAGACCGAATTAATTTCTTCTTGTCTGCTTGACATTTCCTCTTCTTTTCTGTCCTCTAAACTTTAACTAGTTTCTTTAGATACGTTTTCCCCAAATTACAGGTTTTGTAGATCAGCCAGCACAACTGTACTAGAAGGCTGATGTCTGCCTTCAGCAAACTCGTGCACAGGCATACTCCTTATGGCATTGCTGTTTGAATACTGCAGCAAAGCAAAACAGAGCAGACAAATGCAGGGTTAAAGTGCCATTACAGGTGTTTTGAAGCATGTAAAAAAAAAAAAAGAGAGTATTACTGAGGGGTAATTAGGGCATGGCAGTGAAATATTAGCAGCTTGGCTGGCCTGCCTTTTAAAAGCAAGGCCCATGGACTGCCAACTCAGGCTGAAATGAAACCTTGGTAGCCTGTTGTTAGATTACTATAGCCTAGGCTAGACATTTTTGGGGGAGGTTGGGATATATGGGAGAACTGATCCCAGGATAAACACAAGCTAATTCTGTACTGGAGATACACCTTTGCTTTCCAACATCTGGATTTAAGCACTGCAGGTAAGGTTAGCTTCAGTTATTGACAGTTATATGCAACACACACCTACCCTGGAGCTTCATTTTTCAATTCAAGGCTTTAGGACTTCTGGAATCATACCCACAGACGCAGTAAGACAAAATGCTCTACACTACTTTCCAATGTCTTCGTCCCCACTGCAAATGGATGGGCTATTCATACAAGTATATGCAACACTTAGATAACGCCTATACCCCCAAGGCGGGCTGTAAGCACAATTGCGATCAGTCAGATTGGTGCATCTGAATTGTACTTGGGTTAAAAGCAACAAGTTACCTCTGCAGTGAAGAATGACTCTTACTACATGCCTAAACAGAAGCCTCACTTTTAAAAAACACAACCTTTATTTTGTAATGTTCAAAACAAAATAATGTATTTTTGATTGCTCTTAATATTTCTAGATTAGTTAAACTTATATGAAGGTAGTGGGATTTCCAAATGACAATTCACACTTCTTAAGAAAAAAAAAAAAGGCACTATTTTTTTCCCATGCTTTTAAAGAACATGAGAAAAATGCCACTGGTGTCATCCCAAGGACAAAGTTATGGGAAACTCAGGGTCTGTACATGCATCATCTGACATGGGGTTGTCATGGGAGCAAGCTGTCTAGAAGGAAGAATGTAGCAAATTGAATTTGGCAGTGAAAGTTTGGAATATTCCACAAGGGCTCGATGACTTTTTCCTGCCAGTTAGAATAAAGTCAACTTGTGTTAATGCAAACTGGGCATCTAGTGATATGCAAACTAGCAATACTACTTACAGAAAAGAAAACATCATCTCATATACTCATGCAACAATGAACAGTAAGAAGTATCATGGGTTTTCATAGGGTCACTTTTCAGAAGGGTTAGTTTCAAACTACAGCTGTGGCTTTCCACCCAGGAGCTATGCATACGACCCTTCACATTTGAAGATCACAGCATTATCTCAGAATCTGCCACGCTCCATTTCCTATTCAAACACCAGTGCTGTATCAATCTTTTCCTAAGTGTGCCATTCTGCAGTGTACCGCATTATAATATCCCAGATCATTTTAGTAATAATACAAAAGCCTGAGAATTACGTCAAAAGAACATGATGTCAACTCTATTTAAATTTTAAATAACTCTCATTGCAAAAAAAATTGCTCATAATTGTACCAGCAAATCCGAGCTGATAACTTTTTGATCAGCGCAATACTTGCTCTAAGTTTCTTGCCATTTGCTACTCACAGTAACCACATTAACACAGCTACATCATTTGTACTGAATCTTAATACAATTATTCTCACCTTAACCAAACATGCTTTAGCATGACAAATAAACAATCCTCATACACATGTACTTTCAATGCAGCAAGAACACTGTTGTAGCACTGTTTGGCATGTGAAAGAAGTCAGCACAAGAATCAACAGAGGTAAAGCTTTGACGGCACAGGCTTGGGCAGGAACATTCGAACCAAACAGGCACAGTCCTCTGCAGATTTTTATGTGCAAATACTACTGCATCTTTAAAATTAACTACACACATTAGGCGCGGCACAACCCCATGGCTGCTTTATTCCTGCATCAGTCTGTCTCACTGCTGAAAGAGGAGGTGGTCTGACCTCTCATCTCCACCAGCTGCTTGTGCTAGCTGCACAGTGTTCACCTGCTCGTGCTGAGAGTTGAGCCAGAGAGCTGCTTGGGCTGAAAATTAATCCACTTAAGAGACAAGGAGTGAGGGAGGGGGCAGTGGGGAAGAGAAAAAGGAGAATCAGTTTTCAGGCAGATCAAGCAGCAGTCAGACACTGGCATCAGGGAAACTGCATTTTTCTGCACAGCATTCTGCCAAATTAAGGCAAAAACGTCTCATATTTAGTAGGTTAAAGCTAACACACCTAGGCATATGTGCTGCAGTCACACTTGTAGTGTTGGCACAGTTGTTGAAAGTAATTAAGGCACATGCCTAATTTTTTCTGTGCTTAAATCTAATGCAAATTCTCATCTGTTTAAAGCCAGGCATCCCCTAAAAAATTTAGCCGACTGGTGCTTTTCAGAGCAAAGGCACTGCAACAGGAGCACTCAATCCAATCATAGTCATGTTAAACTGGCAATCGTTGATCAACAAGACTAAGAATAAATTCTCATCAAGTTGCCCATGTTATTCCCAGAATGTTTGAGATGCACTTCAATCATCCTCCCCTAAAAAACTTCTGCCACTCCAGCTTGGCACCAGAGATACGTATCCAAAAGCAAGGTAATTGGAAACAGGCAGAAATACAGGCAGAGTTTCTAGTGAGACACCACCTCTTGTACTTCCTTTGTAAAAAGCAGTGGAATGCAACAATAAGAGGGGAAGGATGTATTTCACCACAGCTTAATCCCATCGATGTGTCAGATGAAAGTCATTAATC